GTTTATAAGAGGGGCAACTCCACAGTCCACATTACAGAGATCTATAATATCTACTGTAGATTTAACTCCGTTATTTAGATAATTATACCCATTTACATGTTAATATAAACACATCATAACATCTCTAAGACATATATAAGTAAAACAGCATATTCCAAGCATTGAATGTTATACTTAATATAATTAAAATGTACTAATATTTATATCTGCAACATAACTGTATGAGTAATTACATTAGGGTTGTTAATATTAAAATGGAAGAATGAAATCTCATTACTTCACTAAACCCTAAATGGTTGTCTCCTTATAAATGTACTAAAATCATTTATACATACTTATTATATTTTATCTTTATACAATCTAAAAGTTTGGTAACAACCACTGACCTCAACTTAAAATCTGCCATAAGGTATTCAGTATTAAAATACTGAGTTTAGTAAATGTGGCACTATTGAGCATAATAAAAAATGTCTTACAAAATCATAAATCACTCATGGTCAGACCATGAATGGACTGGTAAGTGGTGATTATCAAAACAGGAAGATAAAATGTTCTAGTTGGTTTAAAGATACATTTATAACATTTATACAATAAAAGTTATTTTGTTATTTAAAATGTTCATTTTAGGCAGGAGGTGAGACACACACATCATCAACTTCAAATTTTGAAATTAATAATGTGTATTTTCACCCTCCATCTAAAATGAAGCAATTAAAATATATATTTATTGGTACAAAAATCTCTTCTAACATTAAGTATTTCGTAGCAGGATTTTGCAGTATATTTGACAATACATTGTATCATCATTTGACAAGAGGAAGCAAAGCTTGGCAATATCATTATAAGAATTAAACAAAGTACAATTTTCAGCGGCATTTTCAAATAATTTATTGCGAATATCAGTGTACTGGGGGCAATGCAAAAATATGTGCATCTCATCTTCTATGCCATTATTACAAATAGGACATACTCTATTGTTAACATTTAATCTTTCGTATCTGCCAATCTCCAATCTGATTGGTGCAACACCACATCTAAATTTAGCCAATGCTGATCTATTGCGATAAGACATAATTTTATTGACATAATGCTCCTGTTCAAAATCAAACTTAAATTTCTGATATAACCTTAACTTGTTTCTACCATCACCAGATTTACTAAATATACAGTGAACTGATCTTATCCATTCATCTATCAATACATCCATTGCATTCTTCACAATTGTATCAACAATAACATTTTTATTCTGTGGTTATGTACAGTCACTAAAATCTACACAACCAAATTTTATAAAGAGGTTTTTAATCCTAAAATGCCAGTTGCTACAATTTCTACTTGCAAGGTTATAACAGTATTTTGATATCTTGAAATTTAATCTGTTTTGATCCATATTTGACAATTTACTCCAAAAGTTACCATCACATTTCAATTGTTTAACCTTTTACCTCATATATACGCAAAACAACGCATTTTCGACCCTCCCCCCCTTTTTTAGGCCTCAAATAGTGAAAAAAAATGTCCTATTTGGGTCCCAAACACATGTTCTCGTTTGAGAAATGTTGCTAAAAAAATGAGCACTTTTTCGGCGCCGCCCCCCATCCAAAAGATACATCAGGGGGTTGCCAGAAGGGGGATGTGCCCTCTCTTCTGTTTGGGGGGTTTGAAGGGGGGCGGAGTCACCCTCATCGCCAAGAAAATTTTGGACTTGTGAGAGGCTAAAAATGACCCCAGGTCGATCATAATGTAACTTGTAACCAACGCTGAAAAGCCTTTGACTCTATCTCAATCTCTTGAGAAGTTGCAGCACTTTGAAATAAATTTTGATGGAAAAAATCGAGGCAAAATAGTGATTTTTGGCAATTTTGAGATGTCCCCTCGTTGCCATGGTAACAGGAAATTTAAGACTGAGCATGTCGTTACAAAGGCAATGGTCCAGTCAACATTTGTGCCAAGTTTGATTAGTATTGAAGCATTTTTCATAGTTTCATAGCAGTTTGAACTTGTAACAGGAGGCTTTTCAGTGAAAATGGCCATTTTTCACAATATGCTCATGGGGGAAAGGGTTAACATAAACTGGATCCCAACCCATATCACCGGCTACAGCAGAGCTTGGAGTATATTTTCCTGTACCTAAAAAAATCTCATAGCGCGATTTTCCACAGCTTCTATACAAGAGAATTTCATGGTCTCCCAAATGGCAGCACCATATGCTATTACTGGCCACACCATTGAGTCATAAAGCTTTTTGTATACATGATGAGGCATGCCACCTAAAAGCTTAAATTTTGCTATTAAAACACCCAACGCTCTACTAGCAGCCTGTGATACAAATTTGGCAGTAATATTATAATTCAAATGTTCAGACAATCAGACAAAATTAACCCTTTCATTACCTTAGTTAGCTTTATTTGTTAAATAGTAGAATGAATGATGAGAACTATCATCATTTTATAAAACAAGAAATTAAATTTATAAAGTGAATCTTTTTCTGGTCTTCCTCATGATATGTTCCTTCATTTCTGATTCCTAAGGTGCGGTATTGTCTTTTGCATTGTAATTCTGTTAGACAGAAACAAATTTGAGCTCATTTTTATGGAAGAAAAAATTCAAGGTGTTGCTACAGTCATTGTTGTTCCCATGCCTATGCATGTTGCTGTTGCAGTATCAGCTTTAGCATTGGTCATACATTTTATTTAATTTCTTTTTACTTTAACATAGGAACCTTTTACATAAGAATTTAAGGAGACAAAAATGACCTTGAACATTTCTCATAGATTTCTCATAAGTTCATAAATGACCTGAACCTTTATATTATTGATAGAATTTTGTTTGATTTTTGTTATAATTGGCTATAACTTTAAGATTTATGTATGAATTGTCTTCATATTTGACATGAACATCCTTTGAAGGAGACATTCAAGCGGATTTAATTGATTAAGACTTTTACCCATCAATGATCTTGACATTGAAGGTCATTTCTTTTTAATTTTCCTTGATATATTGTTATAAATGGCTACAACCTTTTTTGATTGTTGTCATACTTGAGTTTAACTACCTTTAAGACAATGTGTTAAAGAAAACAAAATCATTTAGACTTTGGATGATAAATGATCTTGAGTTTGAAGATCAAATTATTGTAATTTCACATTTTTGGCTACAACTTGCTATAACTTTGTAAGTAATGGAGTGATTGTCTATGCACAAAAATCTTTTGGACAAGACAATAAAGAAGACTTAATTAAACTTGACATTGACCTTTAAATGACCTTCACTATCAATGTCAAATTATTGAATACAGCATAGATATCAAGACTTGCTATTAATTTACTTTTTTATTTATAATTGGATAAAAAAACATTATGACAAATCTGGGTTGTTGAATATTTTAAATATGACATTGGCCTTGATGTTACCTTGATGTCAAGGTCAAACTTTTGTTGTTAATTATTATTTATTATGATGGACAGATTTGGTTCAATTTGAGGACAAAACAACACTTATGACAACACCAACTTATTGAATAATTTAAGTGTTAGCTTGATATTAAACAACTTTGACTGACAAGGTCAAATATGAAAATATAATTACAATTATTGTTTCTTTAAGAAAATAATGCTTTCTAGGAATATTCTTTACTACAATATTCTTCCTCCAATGTGTTTGACTTAAGAAATAATAAAAACAATTGTAGCTCTTGTTATTCTAAACAGCCTTTCCTTAGTTTAGTTGCCAATTGTAATGAAGCTTTACAGAAACTGTCCTTGGGCGATCATCCTCAAAAATTTTATTTATTTTTAGTTCTTTTTTTGTTTTTTTTTTGTTTGCTAAACAGTTTGTCCACGAGATAAAACAAACAAAAACTTTTTAAAGACATCTTCTTGTCAACCCTTTAAGATTTTGTTAAACCTCAGGTGTTCCTCTACAAAATAAGCAATGTCTTCCTGGTCTGCTTAACAAGATCATGCTGCCTGTAATGAAAAATAAGTATATAATTATCTTTAAACACCATCTTTTTTCATTGCTGAGTTATAAGATTTTAATGAAATAATAAAGAAATTAACAAGAGCATGTTTACCTGGAAAAAAAACAGGTTAAACTGTTCCAGTCTGTTTAACAAAATGGCTGCCAGAGCAAGAAATACAAATCAGCATTCATCCTAAATCATATAATGAAATAGTGAAAAATAGGATCCGTAAAGAACTTGCAATATGGCAAAATAGCAAAAATAGGAGGCTAGGTTTAATTTACCCAGTACATAGGGGTTAATGATGTTAAATAAAAACCTTAACTGAATGAACCTTAGATGGTTCTGTGCAAAATGTTTTTAATTTGTTAGCCAGTGTGGTTAATTAAACTCAATATAAAAGGTCTTTGGAAAAACTTCTAGAATTATTTCAATTAGCTTAACAAAATAGCAGCTAGATCTTAAAATAAAATATGGATATACTATAACTATCCTCTACTTAGGAAATAGATATCAATTCTGAGTGCATTGTTGTAGAATAATGCACGGTTTGAGTTCAAATGCGTAGTAATATAATCACGACGGCCGATAGGCCTGAGTGATTAATTACAAAGCATTTGAACGAAAAACGTGCATTATTATACAATAATGCACGAAGAATTCATATGAGCCGTTCTCCAGAAAAACCTGCAATTATGACCAAAATATCGAATTTGAGGTTTTGAGCAATTATTCAAGTATCATCATTTTCCTGTAGAATGCAAAAGAAATTTTGAAATTATCTCAAAAGTTACCCGAGATACAGCCTTTCGCGATAAGGCACTGTCATGTACATAATCATGTAGAAATAAATCTTTCAATATACCTCATATGAAACTTATAAGCAATTGAAACAAGTACAACTAGGTATACATGTAGTTTGTAATATATTCATTATACTTGTTTACAGAAACCATTAGATAATAACATAAAAAATCATCATAACAGGAGTCAGATAATGTCTTTTCTATCCGTTGCCATGGTAACATAAGTGTTCTAATTAAAACTTGTCTAAGGCTCTCCTGGACATGTTTCATCTTGAAATATAGGTCGCACATAGGGCCGAACTGTGCTGTAAAGATATCTGCGTCGTGCAGCAGACATTCCACCTGGTTGCAGTACTTGTGGCAAGTGTCCCCGTTCAAACTGAAAGTTGTTTGATTTCATGATGGAGAACGTCTCCTCGGCTTTATCGCAGCTCTCTTTAACCACCACCATTCCAGGATGATCTCGGCTCATACGAAAATATTGATACTTTCTGAAAGGGGTAAAATATACATGTTAATGTCATTATGAAAATTTGTATTATAATGATAACTATAGAAGCACTTTAAGGATTAAATTTGTTCAATCAAGATGATAAAATGTTATACTTAACATGTATAGTCAAACATATGTTAGTTACTACCTCTGAATAGGAACCACATGACCACATGTTTTGTTTCAAATTATCACATTCAAAGTGCAGTGTGTTTAACCTGTAAATAAAGACCACCCGTCAATAAAGACCACAGACCATACCCGGTTGATCTTTATATATAAGTTTGACTGTAATGTATGCACTTCATAGTTATGTTCAAGTATATTTTACACTTTACTTAAGCTGACAAAAACGCAAAACTGTACTTTTTACTCTACAATTACCTGATGCCTTGGAGCGGTTTGAAGTGCGTTTTCAGAAATCCTTTCCAGTCTCGCCATGTCCATGTAGGGTAACGGATACACTGGCTTGTAGATGATGATTGAGTTACAACTTCCGTAAGTTGGCCAAGCGCATCCGTGTCTGTCCTGCGGTAAAGTTGTTTTATGCGGGCAAAGCCAGCATCAACATGGCAGCGAGCGTGACCAGGTATCTGCATCATATACTCTATCTTCTCCTGACGTCCAGACAGAACACGCCACATTAGATATCCCAGCATATAGTAGTTTTTATTCTGTCCTGAAATATAAATAAATACATTAAAAAACATTAAGATAGTTGCTGTACTATGTTAAGTTTAATTAGATTTGGTAATTAAATCCTGCAAATTCACATTAAAATCATCAATATTTGTTATTATTATGATAATATTATGAATATCATTGTGTGAAAACGTGTGATAAGGTTGCCGACTTTTATTATTATTAACCCTGCGCCATCTGCAGGAAAAAATTTAACAGCCTTTAAAAACATATTTTTGAATCAGATGATAGGCAATTTCATCAGGTTCCAAGACGCTTGTCACTGACAATGCTTCTTACAACTTTGAAGCAAAGTGGATTAAAGCAGACGACATTTTCAGCAGACAACAATTTTTTCATGTTGAAGATTTATGTTTCAGAATATTTTATGCTAATTGAATTTAAGAACAAAGTTTGTGATATAATATCGGTTGACGTTTATGTCTTTGATAACTGACTATGAACAGCATTGATCATATAATTAACATTATGTGTACGAATCGATAGAAAGTGCTATTAAAAGTTATTCATATAATCACCAAAGTACATTTAAGTATTGAACTAATTTGTAGCAAAACAGTTTTTTTTACAATTTATGCACACGTGCATGCATGCACGTTCAACGTATAACGCAATGAGTGATGAATTATTTGAAAACGTTATTTTGCTATAAATAATTAAGTAAATAATTTCAATAAATTTATAAGGCACTTTATGACGAACATACCTGGGCAATTATCGGCATGTAGTGAAATTGTTGGTCCCTCCGCATGGTCCCTTTCTATCACCCAGTCCACCATACTGATAACAGCGTTAGGTCCGTGAGTTTGAGTACCATCAGGGCCAATAGTCTCATTCTCGTCTACAAGGAAGTTGTATTGTGTTGATGTTCCGTCATTGCGTACACCAAACAATTGCACTTTGCGCAATGTCATAAAATAAGTTGGCCCCATCTGTCTTGAATGGTGTGGTAGCGATAAATTCTGGCTGAAATCAAAGGTAATATGAGAATGTCGCATGTCCCCTGTCTCAAACAGACCTTTAGCATTTGCAATGCATTTGTTGTAGACTTCTCTTTCTTTTTGTGCGTTGACAATGTGCTCTCTAAGATTTGCGGTGCCCTGCAATTTTTAATCCTCGGTTCTGGAATCCATCACAACTTTCCTTAATTTTTCACAAGTTGCACAAACGTCGTCGCGTGGAGATGCAATTTTGATGTGTGGTAAACATTGCTTCCAGATGTTGCAGAAAGTTTTATAATGAACAGCCCTTTTTGTTGGTTCAGATTCAAGGCACGATGTTTCGTATTTCTTGTGAATATCAAGTTTTGTAGTAGCACTTGGTAAGTAAACTGGTGGTATGTTGTCTGATCCACGTGGTGCAGCCGGTTGTGGTATACCTATGTCTTCAGCAGTTTGGGAAACATATGTCACCGCATGTTTAATATCTTCAAACTCAAAAGATTTGACAGGTTTTTTCCCTTTGTTGCCGTGAATTCTTTGAACCACACCATGCTGATCAACATGTGTTAGGATATTTTGAAGAGCGCTCCGCTTGATATCAAAGGCCAACATAAACACAGTCCTACACACTGGTTTCCCAACTTATGAAAAGTAACGGTGACCTTTCTGACGTTTCTTCCCGCGCTTTGTCAATTCATTCTGAGGGCTGTTTACTACAGTTGCCATTATATACAGTTCTTTATCTTGCTTTTCCATTTCCCTAATATTCAATATGTGATCAAAAATGTCAGAAATAGTAAACTGTTTAATGCAGTTTTTCTTGCACCCACAACCATTCTTATGATAAAGGGTAATTCTGTTCACGTCTTCGTCATTTTAGGGCAGATCACAATCAACTTCTGCTTCACCCTCGCTGTCACTAGTAACAGAAGCCCCTGTTATGTCATCTGGAAGCGTGTCTATGTAGTCTTGGACCCGCTGATCAACATCTAACTCGGGATCATCTTCGTCCGAGTCTAAACACAGGGTAGATACATCAACCTCCTCCTGCGATCCCCAGGGTGTTAAAACGGGCGTCACACCAAAATGCTGGGAAAGCAAACTCTCCAAATCCTGTAAGATAAATAAATCCGGTGAGTACTGACAATTATGACAAAACATACAGCTTCTGCGCTAATTAATGGACTAATATAAAATAAAAATATTTCAGTCACTGCAGAATACAAATTTTCCTTTAATATACAAATGCTTGTCCACAAAAAATCATACACAGACTGCATTTTATTTCTGAAACAATTAAAGGTTAATTTGCTTGATAAAAAATTTAATTTTACACAGAATTTAATTTTACACAGAATTCTACATAGCAGTTTATAAAATATGATTGTTAAAAAAAAAAAAGAAAAAAAAAAAGTTCGCGCGTCAGGATCGAACCAGCAAAACACTGACATCGAGTTATTGACACTAACCCCTCGGCCATAACAGCATTTGTGTTCAGTACTGTATAAATTAAGTGATTTAACCTTAATCGTTCAGATTTAGATCAATAGCATACCCATTCCGAACCAAAACCAACTAAATTTTCTGAAGTTTTAATAAAACTTATCTTCGTTGAAATATATTGACATTATTAAAAAAAATAATATAGATCTAGCTCTACTGAGTCCTTAATAATTTTTGAAATATTGATTCGATCATCGATGTCATTCTGGTAGTGGTGGGGTACACAGAAATGTCTTCCAAATTTAGCGAATACATTAATTTTATCTGAAAAACAATCTTAACGAGTATGTCAAGAAATATATGAGAGCGAAATCAACCGACTCTTTGCATGTTTATTACTGTGTCGCTCGGTATAAGTTACACCAATCACGCTATATTATTTTGTTTACGCGCCATATTTTCCTGATTCACTCTTGCGTAAATTACATTTATATGGGAACATTTGAACAATTAATGTGCGGCATACCTAGTTCAGAGTTGATAAAATATATAAATACAACATACCTCTATATCATTATCCATTTTAATATCCAGAAAATGTCAAAATTTATCATGTAATCACTGATACATAAAGGTCACTGAACTCGATCACATGTGCTTTCAAGTATGACGTCATATTTATCAGGAAATTCCCAACGTCATAATCGATGTCATTTTGGCAGGTTTTCCTGGAGAACGGCTCATATCTATTTCAATTCTAACACGTCAAGAAAAATTAGGATTATTATTATAAAGTTGGACTTTATGTTTGGTGGTTAAATTTGTTTTCGCCTTAGAGTTTCCCATAGAAACGTTCTTTAAAGGCTGTTCCAGTGGGTTGAAAAAAACTGTCGTTAAATCTACCTAGTGTAGAAACATTTTGAGAATAACGAATTTTGAAAACGTTGGAAAAACTTTGTTTGTTTATTTTATTTCACTTTATAATTTTTCAATCGAAATACAAATTATTAAAAGTGAAATAAATGTAAAACTTAACTCGTTTGCGACATTAAAATAGCGTACTTGATTTGATCGTTTTGCACGTGCTGTATGGCGCTACATTGTGACGTCACGTAAACAACACTTAAAACGTCTCTACAGCGTTAACGACTGAATTAAAGATATTGGTGTTCGTATTCATTTTCTTAGTTAGACCATTTTCTTTCATTCTAGATAGCTTTCACAACAAAATTCGACAAAAAATGTTTTATTTATCAGATTTTTTTTAACAAAATGGCGCCCTCAATGTGAAAATACACAGGGAGATAATAAGAACGGCGAATGCATTGTTGAAGAATAATGCACGCTTCGGGCCTTCTTTGTTTATATAGAAAAAAAATCCAATAGTGTTAGAATAATTTGTAAAGATTTTGATGAAATTAATTGTTGTTATACAATTGGTTTATATTTAATGAAGAGCTTTATGAAAGTAAATGCTTTCATAAGAAATTTCCAAAATAATTTTCTCAATAAACTTTAGGAATAACAGTATGGTCTAATATATGATTGTGTATTTATACTAAATTTCTATCAGACAATAATTTTCAAATATAAAGACATTGCTTTTTTAGCTCACCTGTCACAAAGTGACAGGGTGAGCTTTTGTGATCACTTTTCGTCCGGCGTCTGTCTGTTGTCCGTCCGTTGTCAGTCCGTCCGTAAACTTTTACTTTAAATGACATCTCCTCATAAACCATTAAGCCAATTTCATCGAAACTTCACAGGAATGTTCCTTTGGTGGTCACCTTTGGCACTTGTTCAAAGAAAAAAATTCCATGCAGAACTCTGGTTGCCATGGCAACCAAAAGAAAAAACTTTAAATATCTTCTTCCAAAAAACCCAAAGAGCTAGAGATTAGATATTTTGCATGAAACATTTTCTAGTAAATGTCTACCAAGTTTGTTCAAATAAAAGCCCTGGGGTCAAATTTAACCCCGCCCCAGGGGGTCATTGATTTTCCCTATATGCATATAGTTAAAACTTAAAAATCTTCTTTTAAAGAACTCAAAGAGCTAGAGCTAAGATATTAAGAATGAAACATCTTCTAATGGGTGTCTACCAAATTTGTTCAAATAAAAGCCCTGGGGTCAAAATTGGCCCCGCCCCAGGGGGTCATTGATTTTCCCTATATGCATATAATAAAAACTTGAAAATCTTCTTTTAAAGAACCCAAAGAGCTAGAGCTAAGATATTTAGCATGAAACATCTTCTAATAGAAGTCTACCAAGTTTGTTCAAATAAGAGCCCTGGGGTCAAAATAGGCCCCGCCCCGGGGGTCATTGATTTTCCTTATATGTGTATAGCAAAAACTTAAAAATCTTCTTTGAAAAAAACCAAAAAGCTAGAGTTTAGATATTTAGCATGAAACATCTTCTAGTGAGTGTCTACAAAGTTTGTTCAAATAAAAGTCCTAGGGTCAAAATTGGCCCAGCCCGGGGAGACATTGATTTTCCTTATATGTGTATTAGCAAAAACTTAAAAATCTTCTTTGAAAAAAACCCAAATAGCTAGAGTTTAGATATTAAGCATGAAACATTTTCTAGTAAGTGTCTACAAAGATTGTTCAAATAAAAGCCCTGGGTCAAAACTGGCCCTGCCCCAGGGGTGTTTTTAACTATATGTGTAAAGAAAAACTTTAAAAAAATCTTCTTTTAAAAAACCCAAAGAGCTAGACCTTAGATGTTTAGCATGAAACATCTTCTAATGGGTTTCTACCAAGTTTGTTCAAATAAAAGCCCTGGGGTTTAAACTGGCCCCACTCTGGTGGCCTATATACAGGTGAGCGACTTCAGGACCATTATTGCCCTCTTGTATATTTATTGGGAAATATTTTTAACCTTAGCCTGGTACATGTATTTATCAAAAAAGTCGAAACAAATGTTGAGTTTGTTTAACTCATAGATACATCATACCTAGATATATAACATAAAAATGATTTTTTTGTTGTTGACAGAACTTGAGCTCATATCAGAACAGTTAAATCTTAGTGAAATTTTCAGCATTTCATAAATATAAATATTTACAAACAAATCCTATTTTATGTTACTTTTGTAGTATATAGAGAACATAATTTTATGGTACAAATGCTTAGCTTTATACATGTTCTTGCTAGTTTAAAATAGATCAAGTTGTAAACCTTTAGAGCCAGTTTTATAATACTGTATGATTTTGTTTGTAACGTCTATTTTCATATGATAATCGTGACGTTTATATAATTTTATATACACAGCTGCTGTTGATTTATCTTTACTTTTTCTCTTAAAAAAATGATGCTTGCTGTATTATAAATTGGTTACAAATATTCCTGACATGTTACATCGCCTATCGGCTTGGTTTATATTTCCAAACAAAGGTTTATATAGTGCCATGTAACCTGTAATAAATCTTTATAACTAATATGGAACTTGGTCAGTTTGAAAATTGTTTAAAGCAAACATTGTTAAGCAAAATGAAAACAGCATGGTAGAAAATATTTAGAACAAACATGTGTTAGGTGTTAAGTTACAACATTGTTTCCTACTTTAAAAAGAGAAGCATTTAGAAAATATTGAAAAGTAATGTCAGTTATTATTACCTATGATCATCATACAGACTGAGAACAAATAATAGTTTTAGAGAGCCAGGTAAAGGAGATCTATATTGATTTTAAATTTAAATTTTTAAAGATTGAGAAAATTTTTCTTTATTTTTAACTTTGTAGTTGTAGTTGAACCAAAAGCAAAATAACAAAAATGGGAGAAATAAAAGTTTTATACAAACAGATATTTTTCATAAATTGAGTACATTGAAACTAATAACAAGGTACTTGATTATTCAAGCATTTTCTTGACCTCTATTAAAAGTTGAATAAGAAATTACACTAAGTTTTAATATTGTATTTTTCAGCTACATGGTCTGAGTGGACAAACTGGGGAAACTGTGATGTTACATGTGGTAGTGGGTCAAGAACACGAACAAGGACATGTCCTGTTCCTAATAATTGCGCTGGAGATGGAACAGAATCTCAGCCATGTACAAGTGGAGATTGCCCTGTAGCAGGTTTGTTACTTGAATTTTTATAGTTAAATATAAAAAGGGACTGTCAAACTCATTTGTCATTATCATTGGTAAAGACTTTATCATAAGTAGTCCATCTTACCTGTAACAGTTCCACCCTTGTGGAATCAGATCTCTTTTTTAAAAAAAATGCATTTTTAGTATCAATGGAGGTGACTTACAAAGACATATACATTTAATTTTAGCATCATTTTTAATATTCATGGAAATATTTCTAAATCTGAATTACAAAAATTCCTGTCTGTTTTTGCAAGAATAGTTTAGTGCTTGAGCACTCATTAGATCTTGTTAAAAATAAGGCTCATTGAAATGTACATCTTGATTAAACAATACAATTCTTTACTCTATTTACTTATTTTATCTGCTAGGAACAAACGTCCATTAAAACAAAATGGAATAAACAATACAAAAATTAGAGATTATAGCAATAGACAGCACATTATAATTATGGTTGGCATACTTTCAAGATTGAAGGAAAAGGTTAAGTTTAAGATAAACAAATGATTATTATTATTTTTCTTGTCATTTAAAGTTATGATAAAATATCACTCATAAACATAAAACATTCATACATACAGTCTTCTGTCTTAAAACCTATATAATCAGACCGAAGTTTGACAAATATTAAATGTAATTATAACTTATTTCTTGACAAGTGGATGGTATTTGGGGAAATTGGACACCATGGTCAGCCTGTTCTCCAACTTGTGGTGACAGCAGTGGTCAGCAGACTAGATCAAGAAGTTGTAATAACCCTCCACCATCAAATGGTGGGCAATACTGTATTGGTAGCAGTTCAGACACACAACCATGTATCATAAGTGCTTGTTCATGTACTGTATAGCTATAAGTTTCTATCTTTTTAAGACTGTAATTTGTAGAATTATTTGTTCATGAAATGTTGATAAACAGAAGAAGAAAAGACTTGTGCATATATCACCAAAGGGTCTGTGCATATATCACCAAGGGTCTATGAATATATCACCAAGGGTCATAACAGAGTGTTATAATATATAAATTTCAAGTCTTAAGGCAACCATGTCAGTTTGAAATTAATCATGAATTTTGATATCTAATATTTTATTGGGTTAACAGTGACAGAGATAATATTTCTTTTCAAAAATTGTTTATTTGCATATAAAAGTAAAAATGAAATTTAAATAACAACAGACCATGTTTTAATGTTTTGTATAAATGAAATCATTTACAAGTTGCTAAAATATTCGCTGTCCATGATGATGTTACTGCCAATATGGAACACTTTATAAAATCCAAATTTTGATAATGCCAATACTAATATGTATACAGTCTTACACTTTTGCATAATTATGACCCCTTTTCTGTGTTGTTTGTTACTATCCAGCACTGACAAAAGTGCATTGTACTTAAAAAATCTTGTTAGAGAATATCCTGGTCTATTGTTCCAAGAATTACTGCATCATCATCTGTAGATGCACCAAATTACTTTAAGGTTATTTGGTCATAGGTCAATGTCATAATGAATGTCACCTTTAAAAGCTTGTCTGATCAATAACCAGAGAATCAATATAACAAATCTTCATATTTGTTAAGGAGGTTGATAATGACCTTTAGATTACATAAGCAGCTGAAAGTCCAAGGTCACATTGGCCTTAAATTAAAAGGATGTTAAATGAATAGGAAGGGGATAATGACATGTATATGAATCCTATAGAATTTGAGGTAAGTTGGTCAAATGTTGAAGCATATGTATTTGAATCCTATAGATTTTGAGATAAGTTGGTCAAATGTCAAAGTATATGTATTTGAACCCTATAGATTTTGAGATAAGTTGGTCAAATGTTGAAGTATAAATGTATATTCTGGGATTTTGACTGCTACAGGATCATTTACTAAAGAATGTTAAAGGTAACACTGCTTTTATTTGTAAGTGGTGTTGGTCTTAACCTGCAGATTACTCTATTTATTATTAGAATATTGGGTCAAATGTCATGTTGACTTTTACAAGTAAAACTGACTTAAAAGTCATCATTATTTGGTAGGGTTAAAAAAAAACATGCTGTAAAGTTGTTTGTATGTCACAATTTGTTAAAAAGGTAAAATTCTTATACTTAAAGACCCAAGGAAAACAAAACTCTAGCAAACTTCTGAACATCATTGATTTTTTTTATATAAATCATTGCCCCTGTTTCATTAGACTTGTCTCTGCTTTAAAATTTATTCCATTTTCTTCTTAAGTAACTTGTTAGAAAAAACATTGTATATTGCTTGTGACTGTGAGGTTAAAAAAACTAAAGGGTTATCATATAGTTGCTGCCATGACCATCCTTATGTCTTTAACTGCATCTGTCTATCCACGTTTGTACATCACAATTTGGAAAATAAGACTTATTTGAAAAATTGTTTCCATGACAATCACTATAAACAAAAATAAATTGGCTAAATACATATACTTTTTATTTAAATAATTGTTGCTAAGGTAAAATGTCTTTACTGAAAGACCAAGAAATTTTAATCATACCAGGGTACATAATATCATTGAAGTTTTTTATGATAAATCAATGCCTCTGTTTCATTAAATATGTCTCTGCCTAAAAATATATTCCACTTATGCAACTTGTTAGAAACACATAAGATATTGGTAGTGACTGGGTGGTAAAACAGCTAGAACAGTTTAAGGAACTGCACTTAAGTTTTTATGCCCCCACAAAGTGGGAGCATATAGCGTTGCACTTGTCCGTCCGTACGTCCCGAAATTTTGTGAACGCAACTCCTCTTTAACTGGATGGCAGATTTTGCTTAAACTTCCAGGGATGAACAACCTTAATGAGGAGATGGTAGTAAAGGAAGGAATTTTCGCTGCGACCAAATTAAACATAATTATGACCCTTTGTTATTTTTTGTGCCCCCACTTTAGTGGTTAACCCTTGTCCTTCCGTCCGTCCGTTCTCTTTTGTGTCGCACCTAACTCAAAAAGTATTTGAGCTAGAGTCATGAAACTTTACAGGAGTGTTGATCAGCATGTGTAGTTGTGCACCTGGGTATTTTCATCTGGATATTTTTAGTATTTTTAGAGTTATTGTTTTTGACTTAGTAAAATTTTGCAATTTTCAACTTGTGATGCATTTAACTCAAAAATTATTTGACCTAGAGTCATGAAACTGTACAGGAATGTTGATCAGCATGTGTAGTTGTGCACCTGGGTATTTTCTTCTGGATATTTTTAGTATTTTCAGAGTTATTGCCCTTGACTTAGTAAAAATTTGCAATTTTCACTTTGTGTCGCATGTAACTCAAAAATTATTTGACATAAAGTCATGAAACTTTACAGGAATATTGATCAGCATATGTAGTTGTGCACCTGGGTATTTTCGTCTGGATATTTTTAGTATTTTTAGCTCACCTGTCACAAAGTGACAGGGTGAGCTTTTGTGATCGCTTTTCGTCCGTCGTCCGTCCGTCCGTCGTCCGTCCGTCCGTAAACTTTTACTTTAAATGACATCTTTTCGTTAACCACTGAGCCAATTTCATCCAAACTTCACAGGAATGTTCCTTTGGTGGTCATCTTTAAAAATTGTTCAAAGAATTTAATTCCGCCTAGGGGGTCATTGATTTTCCCTATATGCATATAGTAAAAACTTAAAAAATCTTCTTTTAAAAAACTCAAAGAGCTAGAGCTAAGATATATAGCATGAAACATGTTCTAATGGATGTCTACCAAAATTGTTCAAATAAAAGCCCTGGGGTCAAAATTGGCCCCGCCCCGGGGGTCACTGATTTTCCTTATATGTGTATAGCAAAAACTTAAAAATCTTCTTTGAAAAAACCCAAATAGCTAGAGTTTAGATATTAAGCATGAAACATCTTCTGGTAAGTGTCTACAAAGTTTGTTCAAATAAAATCCCTGGGGTCAAAACCGGCCATGCCCCAGGGGTGTCATTGTTTTTAACTACATGTATATATGAATTCTTGCTGCAACCAAATTTAACAGAATTAAGGCCCTTTGTTGATTTTTAGTTTTCAACTTGTGGAACATGAAGTCCAAAAAAAAAATTGGACCTAGAGTCATAAGATTGACAGAACAGTGGTGTGTGGGGGCATCCGTGTCCTATGGACACATTTCTAGTTTCATATGACGAGACAAGAAATATTCCGTGAAGATATTTGTACAATTTGATGAAAATCTTGACTTATGTATTGAATGCAAAATTTCAGATCATTCACCAACTACATTTTCAAAAATATTTTATTTGTTTAAATTGGCACAAAAAAATTATAACCATTGTCAGTTATGTTCAGCGTTATTTTTATGTCCCCCTTGGAAGAAGAGGGGGTATATTGTTTTGCTAATGTCTGTCTGTCTGTCCGTCCGTATATAAGATGGTTGATGATTGATTTTGGGGTTACTAGGTCAAAGGTCAGGGTCATAGGAGCCTTCAATGTTAAAATGGTTTCCGCAGGTTATCTTGAAAATTATTCATCACAAAGTCGTCATTTTTCACATGGTGATTGGTCATAACTAGTAGATGACTCCTATTGGTTTTGGGGTCACTAGGTCAAAGGTCAGGGTGACAGGGGCCTTCCATGCTAAAATGGTTTCCGCTGGTTATCTTGAAAATTATTCATCACAAAGTCATCATATTTCACACGGTGCTTGGTCATAACTTGTTGATGACCCCTATTGATTTTGGGGTCACTAGGTCAAAGGTCAGGGTGACAGTGGCCTTCAATAATAAAATGGTTTCTGCTGGTTATCTTGAAAAGTATTCATCACAAAGACGTCATATTTCACATAGTGATTGGCCATAACTAGAAGATGATGCCTATTAATGTTGGGGTCATTAGGTCAAAGGTCAAGGTCACAAGGGCCTTACATGTCTGAATGGTTTCTGCTGATTATCTTGAAAAGTATTCATCACAAAGTCTACATATTTCACATATTGATTTGTCATAGATAGTAGATGACCCCTATTGGTTTTGGGGTAACTAGGTCAAAGGTGAAGGTCACAGAAGCCTTGAATGGCAATATGATTTCTGCTTATTATCTTGGTTATTATTTAGCACAAAGTCTTCATATTTCACATATTGATTGGTCATAACTAGTAGATGACCCCTTTGATTTTGGTGTCACCAGGTCAAAGGTCAAGATCACAGGGTCTCTGAATGGTAGTATGATTTTAGCTCATTACCTTGAAAGATAATTATCACAAAGTCTTCATATTTCATACTGATTGGTCATAACCAACAGATGATCCATACTGCTTTTGGGGTCACTAGATCAAAGGTCTAGGTTACAGGGGCCTTAAATGTCAGAATGGTTTCCGCTGATTATCTTGAAAACTATTTATCACAAAGTCTTCATATTTCACATACTGTTTTGTTATAACTAGTAAGTGACCATTATTAATTTTTGGCTCACTAGGTCAAAGGTCCAGGTCACGGGGTTCTTGAATGTTTGTATGGTTTCCGCTCATTATCTTGAAAACTTTTTATCACAAGGTCTTCATATTGATTGGTTATAACTAATAGATGACCCCTATTAAATTTGGATCACCAGTTCAAAGGTCTAGGTTACTGGGGCCTTAAATGTCTCATTAGCTTGAAAACTATTTGTCACAAAGTCTTGGTTATTTTTCTTTTTTCCAGAATTGAACATTTCCATGTACCAATTTATGTCAAGTATCTCTAACATTATTACCAATCATGTGAGTCAAGGGCTAAAAAAGGGGCATATGTGTCTTTTGACATTTCTTGTCTTTATAAGCCTTGGAAGAACTTATTAAATCAGTGTCAAATAAAATTAAGGTTTTAAATTCTTGTAGAAGCAAGGACATCAAATTTATATTTGACTTTT